CAGAATAGACTTCACGATAATCAGTATCACAACCTGAGTCAATACCGATTAGCTGAAGAGTATTAATCTTTCGCTTATGTCGAAATGTTGCGTGATCCGTGGCGTCTACTGTATGTATCAGAATAATTTAGAAAACGATTTTTTCCAACGTAATTATACTTGGATTGATTTATTCACTCGGTGGTTTTGCATAAACAGGCTTCCTCTACATGTAAAACTTAAGTTTACCTAATACGCCCGATTTCCGCTTTTTTCGGAATTTTCCACTTTGCTTATAAGCTGGTATTTCTATAAGACTTTATATTCCTTCATAAATCACAGTATGCCCTATTGCGAAAAACGACCATTGCTTTATTAATGTAAAACCTTGGGGGGTCGCAACTTGGGCTATGTTTGAGTAACAGGAAGTAACTTTTTAACAATCCTTGGATTTCATGACTTAGGCAACCTACTGCATGCAAATTACTAACGGCAAAGAAAAGCTACAGAAGAAGTGTAAACTATTTAGGTTGTCATATTTATCCAGGCTTCTTCAAAGAAGAGCATAAAGGCGTTCTATAAAAAGTCTGGTTGTGTCTGAATTTCTGGATTTTGCAGCAAACGAATACATATTAACATTTCATTTAGGTAATAATCCTAAATCTTTAGCGTATCTTGAAATGTGGGTTATTTTTGCATGAAAACTGTCCCTGATTGTACATTTGGCATCTCAAAAACTTGAATAAGTAAAAGTACTTTTTGAGGAACAGCTTTATTTTCCGTTGTTTGCTGGAGGCGCTGACCCAATACTATGCAAATATTGTTTTGATTAAATAGAGCTCGAGGTATAATGCAAGATGTTTGACGGCCTTACTGTGAGGTTTGACCAAAACGTTCAACACGGTGCGGACAGAACCCTATCAAAAATTATATTACTTTATGGCTTTAGAAAAATTATTCGATGCTTATAGCATCAAATTTATCTTTATATTTTATTTCCTTTAGCTTACTCTGAAAATTCAACTTCCGCACTGTACAAACGATGGAATTGGAGGTTTTATCAGGAGGAATAAAATATCTAAGGGTAACAGATAAAGTACGAATGGACCGAGTACTCTGCGGTTTAAGTGTTCAAGTGAAAAGTATTTTAAAATGTTAATTATTGATCCCATTATACTCAGAGCTGAAATGATATAAATAAAAGTAAAAAAATGATACCCACTTTTCACGTTGTCCATTATAAGATAGATAGTCTCTCGATAAAGACTGTTGAACCATTAATTATTCCAAGTTAATGAGATGGAACGTCTTTAATTATGACAGTAATTGAGGGGCGGGTTTCCTTCACTTCCTAAGGATTTTGAATATGTATATCTATTACTGCATATAAATAATAAAAAAACGTTTTAATTTTAAACTAGCAATCATCAATTTATATGGTCGTCTAACATATATTTTAGGGATTTCGCAACCTATTTCTGCGGCTTTAGACAACGACCTAGCAAACAATTATGCCGAAGCGCTAGAAACAGACTTTAGAGGCAAGTTTCGACCCTCTTGATTCATAAGCAAAGCAATGAAATCGGCATTTATTCAAAGATGTATAAGTAAAGAAAATGCATAGGTTCGCCCCCGATCTTTTTGAAATGAAGAACGCTTAAAAGTTGAACTGCGAATAAAATGAAAGTTATAGCACAGAACTTCAACCTTAAATGTCTTGAATTAAACCGGGAGGAAAAGGAAGAAATTTTTTTCTCATAAAACTACTGAGGCGTCGAGAAAAAGTAAAAAATTAAAAAGAATAAGTACATATTTCCTTGGTTAATTAAAGAAGCACATACCGATAAACAGTTCTTGTCAGTTTGAAATTAAATTACTTGTTAATTTCACCCAGCAGATATAAGCTAATTCTCACAAGTGTTTATATAAACTTACTTTATACTTTTTGACATAGGAGCAGCGACATTCGCAAGACAATTTACGTCGGCGCATGCACCAAGAGATGTTGCAGTCTTCATGGAATACCGGGAGAAGATTCAAAGTTGTGCCGCGAAAATTGCGCCTCCAGCTTCTATACGTACTTGGACGGCTGCTAGGTTAATTAATGTTTCGTATTTAAAATTGGATTATTAATACGAGTAAGATTTTGAATTTTATTTTATGCGAGATGAGGTGCTAGTACACTATCATCACGCTGTAAGATATTACCTTTTGGAAATGTAATTTTATAGACTATCCTTTTCATTCATCGGTCATTTTATATTTGGGTGTTTTAATCCGCATATTAAAAATAAAATCCGCACCTTGCGAAACAGACAACGGTCAACCAGTTGAGAGGTCCCCCAAACGACAATGTAACAAAATATAACATCACATGTTTTTGATGTCTGCTTGCCGGTTTTCTTCATGTTATCAGCGATGTGTGGAAAAACTGATAACAGTTTAAGAAACGTTTCTAAAGCAATTTACACATTACAGAAATTTTGTTCACTTTTATGCTGCATTTAGATTCAGCTATCCAAAGTTATTACTGTTATATTTGCCACGTGGGTTTATCGGATGCTGTCCAAAACTCATGCGAACTTGCTTTTTATACTATTTATTTAAGCTTATGGAACGCCCTAAGTTTGTACATTTGCATGAGGTCTTTTACATTCATTATAGGCTTGTATCATAATATTTCAGAACGACTGCGCTTCGAAAATAACTATGGCTTATGCCTCGAGAACTCTTCGGATGCTTAACCAACCTTTTCATTGTTGCCCAACACCGAGCTTGGAATCCCGCCGGGAGCGTAGGCTGCGTTGTCTGGTGTGATATTTTCATATCGGGTCAATTCGGCTACATCCATTGCTAGAGTAGGCACAGTAAGGATCGCCGACAAACCGCAAATAAGCGATACAACGCATCTCCGATACTTCTCCCGTATCTGCTTTGCTTTAAACGGTCTGCTGATAGCAATAGTCTTTTCGATTGCCTGAGCTGTCATAAGCCAATTGGAGGCAAGAAGCAATCCCAATAGAGTTCCGTGTAGACAACGTACAAATGCGGATGCGTAGTAAGCATGGACGTGGGAGGAGAGCATAAAATAGTCAAGAGAAGATATAAATAATACCAGGAGACCCAATAGATCCACCAGTCCCATGCATATGAAGTAAATTTGTACTGCTGTCCTTCCGGGTTTCCGGCGATATAAGAATATCAGAGTTATGCAGAGGGCCACCATGCTAAATAGGCAGACGGCAGGAGTAATGAAGTGCCTAATAACATAATAAGTGGTGACGAGGCCATCATTTTCGATACTGAAACTTTCCAATGCTTCAAGACTGAGGGAACTCTCGGAGATATTATCTTCTTCCGTTAAGTTGAAATAATGGTGGTTCACACCTGCAAGGCGATTATAAATCATGAGAGCACACAAATTCCTTCTGAACTGTAAGCTTTTCCCATTTCAAATCTGGCATGCTATTGTTAATCACCTGAACCTCATAGCCAGTGTTTTCCTTTGCAACGCGTGCCCATATATTCTGACCAATGTGTTTAAGATTAACTGGCCAATTATAACTATTCGGATTTGGACCAATAAGCGAGGGTAGGAATACCACTATCACAGGAAGTGTTAAGCTGAAATACTGCATAACCCTCTACTGTCAGAAAACTTCGCAAAGGAGCGGTTTTTTAAATTTTAAAAACTGCTTCTAGCTTTTCATAACTTTACCGGTATTTTGACAAATTTATGCTTCAAGTGACATTGTTCGTAAAACTGCAAAACACTGAACGTTCGTGCACTTCATGCTTATTTTCAGTCCCTAAAAGTCCGACAATGTGCAGTTTCCACATCACATATGAACAGCATTCGTGCTAAGTAGAAGCTATTAACATGGAAAAAGGGCGTTTTAAAATATGCTGGGCGTATGGTATATCATTTCATATAGAACTGGCAAGTTAAATTGATTATTAAAGAGCGCATGCACACAATTATTATTAGGCATTCAATTGTCGCCGTTCCGAATTGCCACTTTCGTTTATGTAGTAAACATAAATGAAAGTGACGGCTCACTCAAGAAACAAACATTTTTAATTAATTTAAATTAATATTTTGTGTAACCTCAAAGAAAGTTTAAATCTCACTCGTTCTACAGAAAATTAAATTTTTGTTGTGCTCGCCATTACATTTTTGTTTAGACGCTTGCATTCTAGCCAAGGTATGAATATAACATAATTTAGCTGAGTTTCACTTGCTGTGATACTGGCCTCATTGTATACTCATGTTATCATTCAGGACGACTCCCAAGGGAATTATTTTGGTACAAGTCAGAAATGATATCATATTTAAGCGTCATTAAGAATGATAGGGGGTTTCCTCTATGTCATTAGTTGGTGAGGATTAACCACCGAGTACACAAGTTTCAAAAGAAGGGGCACGGTAAGTCACATGACGCAGTGCGAGATGAAAATCCCATTGCTTTTTTAACTGCGAGTCCCAAATAGGAGCATTTCAGACAATCATAAATCTATATTAAATGCAACTTTCCAAATGTCAGACAACTTTTAGTCCCATATGTGACCTAATCAGTGATTGCGCTCATAAATGGAGGAGACATGATCAGTGATATGCTAACCTGTATTTCAGCGTGGACTTTCTTTAGCCTGATTTGATTTTTTAAGGCAGTCGATATACTCGGCTTTTTTTTTGGGGATATAATCACCCTGAAATCAAACATACCGGCATTGTGGGAACGGTGCAAAGGCACAGGTAATGACACTCTTTTCTTAGTCCCACGCCCTCAGTCCATATGACTAACCTTGCAATCAGTTTGCAAAGTAAAGAAACCTTCACCCCAGTGCACTATCATCAGAGTAACTGCATTTTTTGCTTCTATTTCCTTTTCCTGTCTATTAGAATGACATACAGAGGTGGGCTTACTCGTGAAATCCAAGGATTTTAACAAGAAAAACCCTGTTACGCAAACGCAGTTCACGTCTCCTCCTTCAAAATCTTATAGCAGTAAAGCAAATGTCTTTCTTCAAAAACGGCATATTGCAGGTAATCAAGCAAATCTGCCAAACCAACTTAATAAGATTACGTTGCTTAGAAGTATCCGTTTTTTCGGAAAAGCAAATATTCCGGAAAAGTGGAAATCGGGCGTACTAGGTAAAATTAAGTTTTCAGTTTAGCGAAATCTTGTTCAGGCAAAAGCGAACAAATAAAGCAGTACAAGTAGAATTTAGTTGAAGAATAATCATTTTGTAAACTTTTCGGATGCATTTGCTTCCATATTTCGCCCGGTGTAATGTATGGCTGTAAGAGAGCAACTCAAAGTTCGGGTGCGTATTTCAACATGCCTTTACGAGAAGTGCTAATCGCACCTACCGTTTATAAATTACTGGATTTTCGATGGACAAAGGCGACCAGATTTTCGCTTTATTTCGCCGTTTGTTAGATCAGGGGATTAAGATATTTTGTGAGGTCACGTGTAGGAGTGCCTGTTAGTGGCTAATACATTTAAATGGAATTGTAATTTGCAATCGTTAACGTACCATTTGTGCACCTCTAGATAAATATCTTTCTGTCATATTCCTTTGTAATTATTTAAGGATTTCGATGAAGATGAGGTTCAGATCGTTCTTGAAATCATGTTTAACACTAAACAGTTTTCAGCGGTTTCAGTCGATGGTCTACGTGCTTAGCATAAGATATTTCTTATACGCATTTACCTTAATATTACGTTTTGGGGCATTCTTTATACTGCACTTGTCTGCTTGGGTCATGGTTTTCGAATCAGCCAAACATGCTAAATCATGGCCGAGACAAAGGAACGTCCGCAGCAGAAATTGGATATTAATAATGATATATTCCCCGACTATTTCAATTTTTTATGACAACTATGTGACTTCTTCCTCAAACTGTAGGCGAAGACGTACTTTTCCTTAAACAGGATGTACACAGTACGCAGTGTTTAAACCTTGAATTCGAGTGTAGCAGTCACTAGGTTAGAAAACTATTCGGCAATTGAGCAACTTTTTTAAACCGAAAGCTACCCTTTCTTTGAGTATAAAATTTAAAGAAGGCGTAATCTGCTATCAAAGAAGTACAAGAAATAATTTATTCGTGCATGTTTTCCATTAAATATATTTTAATGTATGAAGGCAATCAAAATCAATGATAAAAAGGCATACTTACGAATTGAGGCAAG